GGTTCAATGGTTTGAGAAACAGAACAAGTCAACGCATCACCACAACGCCCCTACAAGTCATTAATTTTATACATTTATAGATATACATAAATTTATATATGAAAGCAATTACACTAACAAATTATATCTACAAAGTTGTATACAGGGACCTATTAAAATTGTTTTAAAGCAATTTATCAATGTTAACTTCCTTTAAACTGTTAGTTGGAGTACAGTTAGCGAACAGACCTTTACGCAATTAAGTGAATTCAAAGTTGAACGGATAAATCTAGATCTAGTGAAATGCGTTGTTCTTGCAAATAATTTGCATGATTTTCAGTTGATCAAATGTATTAAGCTGTGGAGATAGTTAAAGCGGATGCGATCAAGCGAAAAATAGGTTAGGAAAGAAATTACTTTTTATTTGAAGTATTTTTTACCGAGATACTGCCGATTTGAATCAATTATACTCAAATTTAAAAAAAACTTTCAGTCGTTAAAGTCAACCTTTTTTATCAGTATCAAAATGTAGGTGATATTACTAAAATCTTTTATCGTAATTTCTTACCTATATGTTAATCTATAAGGTACTTTAATTTAATTTTAATTTATTAACAGTAAATGCCTTATTATATGAATTTATTTATTCTGCACGTACTTTAGATTCATATGCGTCATTAATGTTAAATATTATGTAAATTTGTTCCTCTGTTGACGCAAGTATTTTCATGTCATAGGGTCAATGCGAACCAAAGTTCAAGGTGAAAAGTACATATTATATTCATATAACATTAATTCAAAGTCATGCACAATTGGATGCTGTAGGGAGATGTATTAACTATTGTTTTAAGCAGTGAAAAAACATTTTAAAACTTATAATATGATAAATGCATTGCAGAAAGTACCGTAAAAAGAGACAAGACAATTTGTCTATATATTGCAATATTCATATGATAAATTATTCTGTAAAAATACCATTACCGCATATCGCTGTTCCTGAATTCTCGTCCTTGCTGATGCAAGCAGACGTATTAATCTTCGTTACTGTACCCATCTGTAGCACAGAATGGTTGTACGTGCAGTGCATATTATATGTATTGTATAATTTTTCAGTTCTTAACTTAGTTATATTTTAAATTTGCAGTCTATTTCTGTGTCTGTCCAAATTCAAGTATTATTAGTTTATGTATTTAATATTTGAATGTTGTAATGAAATTTTTGCCTCAACAAAAGTTGTTATGGTAAATATAGAGCAGTTTATTTGACTTGTATACAATATTTTAAAGTGGCTTGATTCTTGAGTTTAAATTGTTATTATTTATATTTATTGTCTCTTATTAAAATAAATCTTTTATAAATAATAAATAGTCATATTTTACAGCGATTGTCTACGTATTTGTTTTTGTTTGTGCAAGAAACTTCATTAGTTACAATTTTCTTCCTTAAAATCGGTAATGGAGGGAATAAATAGTTCGATTTACTATATGTTTAGAATTTCCAAATTGAAAAATATTCAGGGTCAATTGATAATGGATAGGAGCTGCCTTGCGATTCTGTAACTCACTTTTCGAACTCTCACAACGGTTCTGAACTGAAGTTTATGATCATAAAAATGTTCATTATTTCTTGATGCCATAATTTTTAGTTTGTGCAGTCAAAGTAGAATCAATCTTTGCCTGACAGACGTCGTTGTTGACAAGCCATATCGATTTCCTTACAAGTTTTTCCTTTATCGTACGGGACCAGCGTTAGTACTGACAAAATTAGAATTTAGGATATTGTTATGGTATGTTTAACATCTCGACAAACGCTGCTCCCCTACCAACTGAAAAGTCGTTTTTACCTTAACCTATAAATATAACTATCATCATTTTGTTATTTATAATTTCCCCCATTTCAACATCAAGGCGTGAAAAAAGGTTCAAATAAACATCTCTCAAATCTTGTGGCTATTTTAATTAGTTCGTAAAAAGATACGCAAAAATACTTGACAAAGATCAATCCCTCCCTCTGTCACTTAAAATCAATTAATAGAGTGAAGAAACGAAAGTCTCAATTTAAGAAAATGGAGAAACGATAATGTTTATAAGATATAACATTTACATAATCCCTCGTGGACTTTATAAAGATAATAATGTATTCAGGGTTTTAAAAATTCACTTAAAAGCTAGTCAACTCGTTTTATTTTTACTTTGTAGATTAGTGTTAAACCAATTACGATTTAATGATGACGCCATGTAACGACAAGATCAAGCAAGTTCTTCAATTATTTAACGTTTCTTTTCTCTTTTGTGATAGATAGCCCAAGCAGGGATTTCGGGATTTACTAAATCGTGGCAGATTAATATAGGGGGATACCTTGTACCCGGTTCAGTACCTCCACCAAATATGAGCCCATATATATGGCATCCCGTCAAGTATAAAGGAATCATCAATTAGTAAAAAAATAAGAATCATCGGACATTCTCGAGCGCGTCACATTAAGGCAGGTTGAGTTACTGACCTGCTAAAAAGTGTATATGTCACAAATCTGACAATTTGCAAGTGACATAAAGAATGGCTTTAGCTTAAGAAAGTCAATCACTTTTAAGGGGTTACTAAATAAAATTCACTATTTATTAATAACATTTTTACTATTTACATTTAGTTGGACTTAGTGATTAAATCACAAAACAATATATTAATTAAGAACCACTTATTTGTATTAAAATTAGTTTTTTGTAAAAACATTTTCAAATATTTACTTTATTGCATAACTATAAATAATGCATATATTTTATGAATAATAATTATAATATTAAAATTTAATTGTATTTTTACAATATTACTTAATCTATTTCGTCTTTCTTTACAACTCTTAAAACTAGTTTTTAGATAAATTTCAATCAAAATGCATAAAGCATTTTTTCAAATTCAAATCTCTGACGTAAACAAAAGAATGTCAGAAACTCATATATCCATTAAATATCCAATCTCATTATTTGAAAAGCGATATAAATAATTATTTTGTTATTTTTACACCAACTAAAACTATTATAAATTAATCATAATCTATGTGAGGTACATCTTCCAACTTAACTAAGAGAAATACTTCATTTGACCAATTATGGGAAAACGTAGTAGCGATGGAAAAGCTTATAGTGGTAAAAAGTAAAAATTAATTAATTCAAACAAAATTCTATTTTCCATATAACCTTTAGGATACTTTTTTTATATATTCGATCTTTAATATTAGGGTTTTACGTTATAAATGTAACGCTTCTACACGCCGTAGTGTCCACCTTTTTAATATTTACCAATTCGATTAATTCTTACCAAACTTTGGCTTGATATCAGAATATTCCGTTCTTTGAAATAAATAATTAATTTTAATTGTACACGAGGTAATGCTTTCTAAGTGACAGCCCTTAATTGTGTCGTGATTTATCGGTTTGCTGTAAGGATCTCGTTACATTCTGTTAAACTGCTTTCTTGTTTACTTAATACAGAGTTAACATTTACGTTAACATTGGATATAGAATTCATGAGATTTTCGTCTTTGAGTGTTTATTGAGTACAGAACGATTGCAAATTCACCTTTAGGGTTAAGTTCAGGGTCGAAAATTGCCCTTAGATAAAATCCTATACATTTTTGACATACGGAAGGCATGTTAGGCGCTAAGTCTCGAATCTGAATCTTAACATTACGTTAGTGGGGCCAGTAATAATAATAATAATAATCCAATAACTCATAACAGATCGCATCCGTTTTTTCGATGACCCGGAAAACGTTTTATTTTCCATGTACTTATTATTTCTAGGAAACATTTTTGTAGTTCAATAAAAATAGTTATTTTATCTAGAATAATAAAAAATAGGGGTTGATCGTAGGGGGGTGAAAATTAGGGGTTGTATGTATTTTTCTATGCTGTATCATAAAAAAATATAAACGGAAAAAATTGTCTAAAAAAAAATTTGGGGTGGACACCCTTTATCACTTAGGGGTTTGAAAGATAGATAGTAGACGATCCTCAGACTTAATGAATATGCAAAAATGCCACCGTTTCGGAGGAGTATGGGAACGAACATTGTGACACGAGAATTTTATTTATAAAGAGATATAATAATAAAAATGATATTATCTTGTATATAAAATTCTCGTGTCGCGGTGTTTGTAGTTAAACTCCTCCGAAACGGCTCGACCGATTCTCTTGAAATTTTGTGTGCATATTGGGTATCTCTGAGAATCGGACAACATCTATTTTTCATCCCCTTAAATGTTAAGGGTAGTCCATCCCTAAATTATTATTCTTTAATTGTAGATTTTTTTTTTGATACAGCATTAAAAAATACATACAACCCTAAATTTCCAACCCTCTACGATCAACCCCTATTTTTTTATTATAAATGATATACATGGCAAAACGACGTTTGCCGGATCAGCTAGTATATATTATATTTTTTAAAGAAAAGTAGATGGATAGTAGGCCTTCTGTCTGACAGATTTCATGGATATTTGGTTTTGAGACTTGCAGGCTTCCTCGCGATGTTTGTCTTCACTGTAGCTAATTGCGAAAGAAAATTCTTTTGGTGCACAGCAGTGATTCGAACGCACGACCTCAGGAATGAGGGTCGCACGCTTAGTTAGTTGTTAGTGCTCGTAGTTTTCTAGTGGGACCGGAGTCAGTTAAAATAAACTTTCTTATTATCTAACGTTTACATAATTTTATGTTTCGATTGCTTCGCAGTGGTCTCATAGTGTAGGATGTTGTGTCTGAAACTGTCGTCACACATATGTATGTAACACCTATCATATATGTTAAATTGTGATTAGTATTTGTGTTTACTGCTAATGAAGTCGCGGGCGATTTCACTATGACGTAATATATAATTAAATGTAACAATTAAAAGTATCTATTATTTATCTTATTTAACTTGCACGAAACATTTACTTATGAGTTAATATTTGTCTCTTTGTACATAACACGACCAAATTTGAGATTTGTATCGTTTTAAACTAGATTGATGCGATATATTGTATACTAAAAAGGTATTTTAATGGATAAAATAAGTATTATACATGTTAATGTCACTGACATTTCTAATGACGATGTTGCACAGCCCTGTTGCATGGCCGCCGGGTGTTCACCTATAAATAGAAAAAAGGTTTAAAAAAATGTTATGATGTTAAATGATAAAAAGTGTGTGTGTGTGTCAGCTACGACGCACGATTGGAGTTTACTCCTTACGAACGATAAAATGGCGATAATGTTCTGTGGCTGTCGACCATATTTTCATACTAAAGGTGGTAAGAATATATGTTTTTATAATATAAATGTTTGTAGTAGTAATAAAACGTACCTACATCATCTATGCCCAAATAGGATTTTCTTTCTGTGACCTTTACCTTTATAGTAAGAGAAGAATAAGAATGAACAATCTTTTTAGATTAAATTTCACTGACCATTACTATTGACAAAACTCTATGGCACGCTAGACAATCTACTTTTATTTTTTACACCTGTCAACACTGACAATGTTGTAACGTGGCTGTCAAAACGTGAATTCAAAATAGAAAAGTCTGTGTAATGTATTCCATCTCATTCTTTTACACGTTCAATCCATTTGTCTCTTTCTACTTAACGCCTCAACTTTTCGTGTTACACATAACGCCTCAACTTTTCGTGTTACACTTGATTTTACTCCTCATAAAGTTTCCGTACCGGGCCTTATAACTCAAATCGTTTCTTAAGGATAAAACTCCAAAAATATTGGAAAGCTTTATAAAACAAATCAAAATTAAATAAACAATTGTTACCCTATTTAAGTGCCAAAGCGATAAGAAAAGACTCTAACGCGATCACTTAGCTTGAACAACAGGTAAAATTGAATAGTTAACAAAATAACAGTGAAAAAAAAAGGTAACGTTTTTCATGAATTTTGATTTTAATAAAATGTTTCGTGAATGTATTTGGAACTAAGCGGAAGTAAGAACACATTTTATTTGAATAGTATCTACAATATCATTTGGAAATCGATTCTTTGTTCGTGCTATCGAACGGTTAATTTTTAGACTAAAGCTTCATATCGAGTATCACATTAAATCGCGGTCGCTGACATAAAACACAGACTTATAGTAATTTACTTTTTTTATTTTTCCATTGCTTGAAGTACAACCTACCAGATAAGACATGAACTCTCGTTGAAGCAGGCGGAGCATTATTGGGACCACAAGTGTAGAGCCCCGCGTCAGAACCCCTCGCTCGTTGAACTAAGAGCCGGCTTGTACTCTTCAAACCTTTTTCGGTGACAAGCGATATCCCTCCACGCGCCGAGTCGAAATTTATCACCTGTCAATTTATTATTTCGTTAAAATTATGATACAATAGGTACTGAATAATAGGATATTTATAATAATGAAAATTAATGCTATATTTTTATATAACTAGCTGACCTGGCAAACGGTGTTTTGCCACGTATATTATTTCTAGGAAAGATTTTTTTTAGATCAATAAAAATAACTATCTACTATAATAAAAAATAGGGGTTATATGTATTTTTGTATGCTTTATCATAAAAAAAAATTCTAAAAAATAAAATTTAGGGGTTACCCTTAACATTTAGGGGGATAAAAAACAGATGTCTGATTCGCAGACTTAACCGATATCCACAGAAAATTTCACGAAAATCGGTCGAGCCATTTCGGAGGAGTTTAATTACAAACACCGTGACACGAGCATTTTATATATTCGATAAATTATCAAATTATTCACAATATATATAATTATGCTATATGGCATAATATTGTTACCTGGTTCTCACAAAATACTTCTACAAATATTCAAAAGCGGTTTAGTTTAAAGCGACGACTTGTACGACATTGTGAACGACTCTAAACCCTGAGTGAGTACAAATGCTGGCTATGCCAATTTTTATTACTATAATAGACACTTACTAGTATGGTGAAGAAGAAAATTGAAATACAACTGGCATATGAAATATAACATGAAAAACCCTTTTTGGTGCATTGTAAAAATTTTCATACGAAGCGCCTTAGTCAATAGAAGTCATAGACGCTAAGTAAAAACCATAACCAATGTCAATAGTCTCACAATATATTAGCGTTTAGTTTCAGCTTACAAGTAAAACATTCTAGTCATTTAAAATTTAAAATAGCTACAATGAAAGCGTTAATTCGGAGCCGAATTTTATTGTGTAAAGCCGCAATCCGAGCTGCGCAACCAACATAAGTTTTGAATTTTCAACAATTTGCTTCAGTGTTTAACTTCTACAACTAAATTTCTCGTATACAATATTTGCTGTTAAACATTTCCAATTCATTATGAAACCGTTTAAATTAGGATTGTACATAGAAAAAATAATCTCAGAGGCATTAGATTTCTGTAAAACTTGGCCATTAAAAAGAGTAGCGGAGAGTTTATTGCCAGTTCATCTCTTCCGTTCTATGCCCTTGATTGGAGAACTGCCCTGCGATTCTGTAACTCACTTTTCGAACTCACTGAGCGGTTTTCGCATCGGCGGTCGCTCTCAAATCAGTCGTGAAGCAGTCATTTTATGATTTGGCATTCTGATAAACAATAAACTACAAGCTCCCACCTTTTCAGAATGCCAAATTATAAAATGACTGCTTCACGACTGATTTGAGAGCGACCGCCGATGCGAAAACCGCTCAGTGAGTTCGAAAAGTGAGTTACAGAATCGCAGGGCTGGCGGTAAATGTAAAATTAGAAGCATTTAATATATATTTCTTTTCTGACGTTCATAAGTGTACATAGTGTTACCTATATGAATAAATGATTTTGACTTGACTTTTTTATTTTAATACCGATCTGAATAAGCAAGTAATAACTGTATCTAAAAGACGTGTTTAGTTTTAGTATCTAAGACATCGGCTTCCTCACGATATGCACAAAGAAAGAAAAATCTTTAGTTTCACAATCATAATTTAAACGCATGACTTGAAGGATGAAAATCGCACACATGTAAACAATTCTAACTATAGTAACGCGCGAAGGTACAGCCCTGCGATTCTGTAACTCACTTTTCGAACTCACACAGCGGTTTTCGCATCGGCGGTCGCTCTCAAATCAGTCGTGAAGCAGTCATTTTATGATTTGGCATTCTGAAAAGGTGGGAGCTTGTAGTTTATTGTTTATCAGAATGCCAAATCATAAAATGACTGCTTCACGACTGATTTGAGAGCGCCCGCCGATGCGAAAACCGCTGTGTGAGTTCGAAAAGTGAGTTACAGAATCGCAGGGCAGGAGGCTGAACTTGCCAATAAAATATTAGTAAATGCAAGACTTATAATGGAAATAGCCCCACTAGATTACCATTTCATAATTTCATTTCTAAAATTAGGTAAATTAACGAATCAATTTAACATATTAACTCTATATCAATCTGCTTCATGCTAAATTAAGCGATACAATTGTGATTGAAGTGTATTAACTATTCCTATGTGTAATGATTGTTTTCGTCAAAGCATTCAATTTGCAATACTCTATTAATACGTAATTATTGATTGAGAGTTCAGGTTAATTTGATTAATGGTGTGCGGAATTCGTGGTGATATGAAAAGAAATTACTGTATGTTTTGTAATTACAAGGAAAATATGTTTCATTAACTATGTTGCCTGAGATAGGTTAACATTTCCATTTATTAATGGTGACTGGTGGACGTTGATGAAATATAAAATAAAATATATATAGGGGAAGGTGGGGACCCTTCGTACGGTTTTCACATTTTATTTTTTAATTTTTTAATTTTTCCATGAATCAATCACCTGATAGCTTAAATTTATAGTCTAACTATCTGAGATTCAAATAAAAAAATGACAAATGATTTCATCCGATGTTTCAACCATAATTATGATTTAAACTAAATCTGGAAAACGTACGAATCTGCCCCATCAACGGGGCACCTTCGTACAGTGTTTGGGGTACCTTCTTACGCTGTGGGGTAGTTCAAAATTCATTTATTAGCAATGAAATTAAACACAAAAATAAAGATTTAATTTCTATTAAACAAAAATAAAATACTTTTCTTATGTAAAACAAAATTTAATTAGTTAGGTATCTTAAATTTAGAATTACATTTTTTACTCTTTGGTGTGGATTACAACTTCTTATTTTTGGGTGTGGCAGTATAAATTCGTGGTTTTCCTGGCCGTCATCGTCATTTTGCTTGTTTTATTACTTCTTACAGAATGCGAATAGGGTCGAAATGCCTCTGGTGTCAAAACTGACTTCGAAGGAACTACTATTTGATGGATTGGTAAATTATTCACAGCATCTGGTTCACAAGCATCAAAATCAACCTTAGTCAAGATGCCTTAACAGTAGTGTAATATGTAGAAAGTCGAAAACTTAATTTGTATGAAAAAGACAGTTCGCGTCGACAAATTATTATACAAATTTAGTTGTACAATTCGTACAAATGTGCCCCATCTAGTGCTGTCCGAATGTACCCCACTAACTGAATAACAACAAAATATAACTTATTTTAATATTAATAGGAAAACGTCATAAATTAAGTATTGGAGACGTATCTTAAGTATATTTTGCTAGTTACTGATAGAATACTCTACACGAAAGCTTATTTTATCTACGGTAACAAGAGATAAAAACATAGATCAAAAAATTACTTACCGAGCGCGAAAACACGTCTATGCCTGTAACTTCACTCTCATCGGTGCGAATTTCACGAAACTTCGTTGATGTATAGTTGGTACCTCGACTCATGCACACATACAAAAGCAAGACTGTACTTTATTTCGTTCAAGTTTTATTTTGACTGTATGAATGTGCCCCGCGTACGAAGGGTAACGATCTTCCCCTATATAGATTTAGCTATTGTTATCAATTTAAACTAATTAACCGACTCTTTTCTTGAAGAAATAGTAAAATATTTATTTCAATAGTATTTTATTTATTTATTTATTAACACTTCGTTGCATATACATTAATATAGTACAATTGACATAATTAAATAAAAAGGAGAGCAACTGGCGGCCTTATCGCTTTCAAGCGATCTCTTCCAGGCAACCACTGTGAGAAAACAAAAAGTATTAAATTACTTAAGATAGTCAAGTGTTGCAAAAATACATGTATTAATTTAGTTGGAAACAAGGAACAAAAAACAAACTAAACTAATAAAGAATACATGAAAAAAAAATAATAATAATAAAAAAGTGCACATGAATCATTTTTAGTAATTATCTGTCGTTAGGATATAAGATTAAATCAATGGAATTTCATGTAACAAACCTGTTCACCATGTGTCCAAGTAATAGATGTAGGTGGTTCTGGAGTATGCCTCACTGTACACGTCAAGTTGATAGTTGATCCTTTCTGTAGGAACAACTCTGATCCACTTGATATTGTAGTCTCTGGTTCTATTACGGAAAATCATTGATTAAGATGTCTTATTGATTTAATTTACTAATGTTAGTCTGAATTTATAACTTGATAAGTGAGTGAGTGAGTTATTAACTTTATAGGTGAGTCTAACAATGGGAATATCCATCACCAGCCTCTTATAAAAGCACACAAACAGGTATATATATTTTAAAATAAGATTTTTTGAAAAACATTTTATTGAAAATTAATATTTTAATATCTGGGACAGATCATGTCTATCATGTCATATGTATTTTAATACAGGCACAATCTTGTAGGAGTGAACCTTTGACATGACTGATAGGACTCATCATTCTTTTAAATCATAACTTCTAAGAGAAAACATGTGGTATTTTACCACAGTGTCACAGCGATAATTTCTAATTTTGATACAAAGGTATCGTTCCTTTAATAATTGGAAATACGTATTATATTTTTTTTTGATTGATTTAAAACATTTGGTTCATCATAAGTTTGAGGCAAATGGAAAAATTGAATTTCCTTATAAAATTTAATAACTCACCGACAATATTGAGAAAAACGGCATGTCCAATAGGCGGCGTGGTAGAAATTTGACACTCATACTGGCCGGAGTCGCGACGTTGTGGGCTGCGGATACGAAGCGCCCATTCCTCGGAGCGCGGCTTGTGCTGTGCCTCAAAGCGCTGGTCTGATGTGTACGTGTAACGGCCCACTGTTAGCAGGTGGATGTCACGGTGACGCACCCACGATACCTATTTATCAAGTGAATAAACACAAAACGAACTCGACTAGACGCGGCATAGGTCACAAGAAGGAATACATTTTTGTAAGACATAGGTATATAAATATAGATTTTATGTTTGAAGACTAAACTGTGGCTGTATTATGAGTTCTATAAATAAATACGCTGCGTAAAATATTTGTATACAATAATATCAATTTTGAGCGGAAGCACCGCTGTAAGAATTTTCATATAAATATTTTACGTCGATGTTACCATTTATTACTTTACCAAACTTAAGGTACAATTCCTACTGATTTATGTAAGTATTTTCGAAATTGCATTAACCTTTAAGTTGAAAAATCTTTTTGCTTGCTTTGTTAGCTAGAGATTACAATCTCTGTCTACAACTCGCTGCGGCCACAGCAATACAATATAATTTCTTGAACTTTAACGATGAAGTCCAGGTCAAAGTCGAAGAAAAGTGATGAATCGCATTTGACAGATTTAAATTCGTTTAACTGGCGTCGAAATTCGGAAATGTGCTGTACTAATAAAATAGTTGGAAAACTTGGGAGATAGCTGAAACCCGACGAAGTTGAATAAAGTCATCAGAGTAAGTTTTGCTAGAGCGCTGTTTTACAAAATTGAATATAAAGGTTACCTCATAGTTCAAAATATGGAAATTATTAAGTTCAATGTTTAACGAATATCACTGGATACGACGGAGTTATAACTTTGCATATATTATTTGATTTTGGTTAGTTTAAGTGGCAAATGCGTATTTACGCAATTTTATAGTTTCAGTTAAATTTGCCGTCTTCGTATTCGTCACATATTTGAATAAATACTCTTAGGTTTAAATTTACAATAAGTTCTAACAAACTTTGCTTACGACAAGCGTAGATCAGTTGTTTATGTTTGTTCGTATCAAAATCTCTGAAATCTTAGCATTTGAATTTACTTTTAGGCTAACAATGTATTACTCGTAATTATGAGATTTAAGTTTGCCATTGTTCCGTCACCAATAGCAATTTCAAATAAGAAATACATAAAATTTTTGAATTGCATATTCGATTCAATATTTATATTTATTATTCTAGTTTATTGTCGTTTATTTTTATTGTATTATTTAATTTCTCTGTTATAATTGTAATGTTTCCCTTTATATTTATTTTATTGTGCACACTTGTCATTGATGCAAAGCATGTCTTGTATTTTTTGTGTGTCCTCTGTAAGTATCAGTATGTGTTTCGTTAGTATGTCTTTTTAAAATAAATAAAAATAAATTAGACTCTTAGCAAGGGATCACACAAGATCCTTTGATACCTAATTTGTAAGATAAGTCTAAGTGTACTTTTATAAATTTCAGCCTTTGTTTTGTGCGCTCCTTTAGTTAGATCTTTGAACCATTTCTCTCCCAATAAGCGTTTTTTACACAAAATTGAACAAAAATCGTCAGTCACATATAAGTGTGGTTAAGAAACCAATTGGTATTATTTGTCATACTTATATACTTGGGGCTATAACCTATTTACAATTAAAGGAAACTCTTTAGAATGTTTTAATAAAGAAGTTGAGTTCATAGCTGTGCACTGTTCACGCTGTTTATTTTTTATATAATAGGGGGCTAACGAGCTTGCGGGACGACCAAAAACGGCAGTCTATGCAGCCCATAGACACCCATTTTTAGTGGGTGCGTTGCCGGCCCTTGAGGGAGGAGTAGACTCGCTTTTTAAACATTTGGAGGTCGTATCTCTGAGGGAAGACCCCCACCGGGAGTCGATTCCACAGTTCTATAAAAAAACTTTAAACTTACCAAACAAATCATGTTGTATAAATTGCTGTTTACTATGATAAAATGTGTACGTTTACGTCGTAATAATGACTACTCTAATAATTTTAAACCTTTAAATTATTCGCTCAACCAATTGAGTACATTTTCTAAGAAAATTTCCAAGTTGAATTTAATGAGAATAAATTACAATTAATTAAATGACTTTGTCGATAAGAAAACGGTTGTAATATGCAAATATATGAACCAAAGTAATAATTTATGTTATAACTTTATATTGATTATGGTAAAACTTAAAATATAAATTTATACCTCATACTTAAGATGTATCAGCATAATATTAAGTCGTTGGTTTTGTCAGTACTTCACAGTAATAAAAAAAGTCTCAACAACCCGACTTTATTTGCACAACTCAACATTTGGAGTGCCTTACAGCAATCGTGGTCAATAAATGCACTATAAATTCGGTAACACTATATTAAAGTACTACTATTATCATAGGTATATAATTAACTTTAGTGATTGGTTGATGAGATTAATAATTATTTTAACTCAAACTAAAACTCAAAATAACTTTATTCATATAGGTAAACAAGTACCCTTATGAACGTCAACAGAAAAGTTTAAAACTAGTAACTTTAATAACGTGTTATCGAATTTATAACTTACTAAACGTTATATTATATTTAACTTATTTGAAAAATAAATTTGAAATTAACAAGAACATTAGTGGATTTAAGATCTTTCATAATTAATTATCTCATAACTTCTTATTTAATGTTTCTCTATTGTGACTAACATAAATTGAACGCACTTTCAATTCAATATTCAGAAATAAATAAAAGCTCTGGGAAATAAAGTTTATATAAAGCCCCGCGTTTTAGATATCCCATTATCCTGAAGGTATCGGGATTATCAATGGAGATGGCGAAGTGCGCACTTAACAGTGAACGATCGCTATCTCGGGGGGTAATCATAAATATAAAGTGAATAAGGCTCTTCACGTTTTGAACGATTTTATGTACGTGTTCGTAGGCTGGACGTTTGCTATTTTTATTCAGAAAATCTTTTGACTTTGGCTAAAATGTATTTTATATGTAAAAGAACACCATGGTAACGAATACAGTACTATCATAATGCTAAATTTTAATATAACATTTTTTTTTTACGGGTTAGACCAGTATTCCCAACGTGGGGTCCACGCCCAACCATGGGGCAATTTGATTGTTAAGAGGGGCTATTCGAAAATTTATTAAAATTATTTGGAATTAGGATTAATTTTTTTCATTATATGTTTTACTTACTGTGTATCTTACAAGTTCCTAGTAATTTATACACATAAATAAATAAATGCTCATTGTTGTTGAAAATTTATTTTGATTTTGATTTATTTACATAGACCCACGCATATACAGAACACCAAAGTGACTACACTATTTTTTCTGTATAAAACACTAAGTATTTACGCAAATAAATAAATTGTTTCTGTAAATTGTGAACCACTGCAGTTCTTAACTAATATTTTTAAGTATTTAGGTGTAACAACTGCTTGAAAACATAAGCATAATCTAATTTACCACAAAACGGGATAAGAACAATTTCATAATTTGTTACGCGCATACAGTTTTTAGTAACCAAGGAGGAAATGCTTTTTGCGCATTCACCATACACAGTCTACGGCAATATCTGAGACTAGACTAACATCAGGAATCCCCTCTGCTACTTAAAGAACCAGGCAAGCCGTATACATATTGTCTTGTAAAAAAACGTTATGAAAAGAACCTTTTGATCAATAAATACTTCACTGTTTATTATATTTATATTGAATATAATAAACAGTGAAATAATAAATTTTATATTGAAGCTTTAGATCTTTTATTCGTTAATAACGACTTTCGTTTGATTATCCTATTCTATGAAGCGTATTGGAGTATATTTATGAATTCTACAATTGGCCCGATCTTAAATTTTATAGTTATGGAAATAAACAGACTCGTTATGCAGGTTCAAAGGCAGTAAAAGATATAGATGAATTAGTAACTAAATCGACGACTAGTGGTTAATACCCCTGACTGCGAAGCCATGGGTCCCGGGTTCGATCCCCGGCTGAGACGAACATCGACGTCATGAGCATATTTTGGTGTTGTGCTTAGGTCTTGGGTGTTCAAATATGTATTTATATGTCTATCTATCTATAATATGAATCTATATCCGTTGCCTAGTACCCCATAACACAAGCTTCACCAGCTTAGCATGGGACTAGGTCAATTGGTGTGAATTGTCTTTAAAAAAAAAAAAACTCCTTGCTTATGTTTTTGGATAGACTTTTGGGCAATTTACACTAGCTCGAAGCAATGTAAGCCAAGTGTGTATTTTTCTCAACCCTGAGCTCGTGCGTTCTAACCCTCAAGTGGTTAGTTTAGCTATATGTACCATTTTCACTAATAATATTCTCTACGTCGATTATAAACACATTTGAATTTTCTTTATTTATTTCAATTTAATTAGTACGCAATATTTTTCTATATTATGCTTTGTATACTTTCTTTAACGTTGATAACTACATAGTAAGCGAAATTTATCATTTATTTACTTTTGATTTTACTGCCCCAACAACATGTCTTAGATATTTGATATCTGGTTGCAGTATCTTTGCCTATAATATATAGGAATATCGCAGAGAGCGACAATTTTGTTTCAAGCGTTTCAGCGCATTCGAAGTAAAATAGTATTTTTAGGTGTCAGCACTTACGCCCTTTAGAGCCGCGATTAAACTTCACTGAAGTTTGGACTGAAAAGAAATCGTGATGACGCTATTTTCATTTCCCATTTCAAATAGCAGTGACGCCCCATCCCGTTATCTAGTCAGTTTTGTATGTGAATTGTCATTTTTAGACGTAAATTTATTGCCGTCAAAAACATAATTTCTAAAAAAAGCTAAATCTTACAACTCAGTTCTCCTAGCGTAAAAGTTGTGAGGTCCATGTAATACCAAGTCAGTTTATTTATTCAACCCCTACTTAAGGGACCTTCTGTCTTAAGTTATTATGTAATGAGCTAACCTAACAACATCTTATACTGACCTAAAACATGGGGTGCCGTGGGACACCAGGTAGGAACGAAGTTCCTTCGGCTAATGTAGAATCGACACAATTTGCAAAAAAAAAACCGTGCTCAATTTTATGTAGGTTTTCTTGATTTTTCTCTTAAATTTTGCTGATTAGTTTTTATTTAGGTTTAAGAATAACTTTATTTCTCATAAGAATTGAAAATTCACTTACTGAGAAACACATATTTAAAACTAAGATTAAAAATTAGAGCGCACAGATGTAGGTACATATATAAAATAAGAAAACAGAACAGCACCAAAAATGTGGGTAGACATAAAAAACTTGGTCAGTCAACCAAGCGAAACACGGATGTTAGAATTTAATTTTTTTCTAGATGTGGCATTGATGGCATAGTCTGATATAACAAGTTTATGTTGATTATTTTATTATATTTCATAAGACTATTTTATTTTTAGTTTATTCCTATATTTATATATTTAGGGTATGTACAAGGTTTATAAAACATTTTTACAAATTAAAATCACCTATAGGCAGATTTTGGTCAATATCAAATACAATTCTTTAACACCGTGAGTGGTGTTAGTTTAAAGTTCTTAAACATTATACATTTCAAGTGTTATCGCATTCTTGTCGATATATATATATATATATATATATATATATATACATATTATATTTTGATCACTTATTTGTATGTAATTAATGTGTAAGTTTTTAGAAGCTTTTTAAATCGGGCATAATTTTGTTCTGCTTTTATAACCGATGGTAACTTATTATAAATTGTAACACCCTCATACTCCAAACTTCTTTTTCCATAGTTAGTTCTAGGAGGGCGGGCCACCAAGTAACTAGCACGTCTTAAGTTAATGTTTCGTGTTTGTTGTTTGGTTAAAAATTTTATATTAGAATTAATTTCCCTATTTAATATTTTGCGTATTAGAATACAAGTGTAATATATGTACGTTTGTTTAATGTTCATTAATTTTGTTTCCTCGTATATCCTTTCAGTAGGCGTCCGAAATTTATAGTTAAATAAGTTTTTAATCAATCTATTCAGAGTTCTTTGGATAGGATCCAAATTACTCTTCGCTGCAGTACCCCAGACCTCAATGAGGTAGTCGACATGCGGCTTAACCAGAGAATTATAGATCAGATACCGCACTTTTTGAGGGAGACAATTCGTTATGTTTCGCAGTGCCCCTGTGAGTGGTGTTAGTTTAAGTTTAATTTTTTCTAGATGTGGCTTCCAAGTTAGGTTACTATCCAAAATAAGTCCGAGATATTTTTCTTTAGGTTTTCGTTCAAGTATTTTTCCGTCTATTTTAAGTTCGAAATTATTATTTATTTTTTTATGTTTTGCTGCAAAAATAACATAATTTGTTTTTGTAATATTAATAGTTAAAAGATTTGACTGAAACCACTCATTTAACAGATTAAGATCATTTTGAGCGTCGGCTATTAGAGCTTCGAGTACAGGCAGTATTTTAGGAAATAATAAATTACGTAAAATAAAAAAAATCGTAATAAAAAATTATGAACTAAAATAACAAAATATGTCTCTTTAGTTTTGTTTGATGGCATAAAATTACATAGAAATAGAAATAATTACAAAAAAGTTTATTATTATTATTATTATAAGTAATATATACAATGCATTGGCGGGGTGGAGTGGTAATAGAGAGAGAAGGGATGAGAGAACGAAAAGAAAGAGGAAGAAAGAGAAAGGTATTATACACTACTCGCTTGTGTACACGACTGTCGCGTCTGCGCACGTCTCATTTAACGGTTTTATTCCACGGACTTTTTCTTACGGTTTTACTATCACATTTTTTCAGTTCGGTCGCGCAGCAAAATCCCTATCTCCTCCAAGCCTGCCGTAAGGAACTTCGTTCCAAAATCTTATATGTTTTTAATATATTTGACTTTGCCACGAAAACACAATGGAGATTCATATTAAATTAGATTGTTTAATGCGATTGCCAAGTCAATCTATTTATTTTAAACATATAAGGTGGGTCGTTCGGTCAGTGAGTGAGTGACAAAATTAAGAAACTTTGAATAGTTTTAATTATTAAACTACTGGTTAAAATTAAAAAATACCGTGTTTATAAAATGCGAGCTTGGTAACTGAAAAGGCTTCTAATTTTATCCACAACGAAGTTATAAGGGTGTCGAAAATGGCCTGAATTGCTTCGCGAAAGGGATGTGACGGCCGTGTCGCTTTTTTTGCTTGATTTGGCGGGCGTACTGCCGTGCCCCCAGATCTTTTTAGACTTACTTATACAGAAATATTTGTCTAAAAATATTATGATGAATGTATGATTTTGTATGTTGCCTACATACCATATTATCAGATTCAAAATAATTGTATTATTATTAAAATAGTTATTTTATACAAGTGATTTTTTTATTAATTTCTATTACTTAAATAAAACTTTTGAAACAAACGCGAATTCAGTACATAACTAATGTAGTTAACATCATTATCATATCTAATATCAAAATTGTATGGAACTCCGTAATGAGTAATTAATTTATAATAATTAAACATAATATTCTTTCGTCCCTTTCTGATTAATTGTGTTTACAAAACACTATGTTATCTTGTCTTAGTTTAATCGAAGCCTTCTTTTTTTCTATGCAATAGGACGCAAACAATCAGCAGGCTCACCAGCTGATGTTAAGTGATACCGCCGCCCATGGACACTCACATTGCTAGAAGGCTCGCAAGAGCGTTGCCGGCCTATTAAGAATTGGTACGCTCTTTTCTTGAAGGACCCTAAGTCGAATTGGGTCGGAAATACTTCAGTGGGCAGCTGGTTCCACATAGCAGCTGCGCGGCAAAAAGTGCCTTAAAAACGCTCAGTTGTAGAACGACTCGAAGTGATAGGGATGGGTTATTGTATATATGTCACCGTAAAATTGTAAACACCGTTAGATTGTAATCTATCTCGCGAGATTGTAAACTGTCGAATGATTGTGAACCTCAACGAACTGTTTACAATTTAACGTATTATTATTCGGTAGTTTGTAATCTATCGAAGTGAAACCGTCAAATTGTGAAACGGATCGCACCTCGCGCGCTGATTGGTTGAACGGAATATGCCCCGCGCCACACGTGAACACAAATGAAATTTTCTTTCATTTCATTTCCAACACTAACTTAGTTATCATTCAAACTTCACAGAATAATTTTACTTCCCAACAATTTCATATAACTAGTAATTCTAAAGCTGTGAGTTACTTTCAACACGACATCAATTTACATTCATCAAAACAATCAAATTACATTCGACAACAAACGAATTAACAAACAAATATGGTGGCGTGGGGGCATATTCCGTTCAACCAATCAGCGCGCGAGGTGCGATCCGTTTCACAATTTGACGGTTTCACTTCGATAGATTACAATCTACCAAATAATAATACGTTAAATTGTAAGCAGTACGCTGAGGTTCACAATCTTTCGGCAGTTTATAATCTCGCGAGATAATTACAATCTAACGGTTTTTACAATTTTACGTTGACATATACATAGTTTATCATATACGTTACTTTTTCTTATTGTCATAAAAGTTAGCACTTTTGATAGCTTCTATGATTTATATATGTCATGCACGCAGCATCACGCACTTGCGAGCCTTCTAGCATTGTGAGTGTCCATGGGCGGCGGTTTCACTTAACATCAGGTGAGCCTCCTGCCCGTTTGTCTCCTATTACATTAAAAAAAAAAGTATTTGCCGTAAGACAGTTTTGAGATCGGAGAGAAGCCACATATAATAAGTAAACAAGAGCTGACATTTAATGCAATAAATCTGTTTCATAATTTATGAAATCACATCGTATATAACCTTACATAAAAAATATGCCTTTTATTTGCGATATTTGTCTTATATACTGACGAGACCATACATAGGTGGAATACGAAATTCCACCCGTATCACCTCGACGTCCGCCGTTCCACAACTGAGCGTTTTTCAAGGCAGTTTTTGCCGCGCACCACCACTATGTGGAATCAGCTGCCCACTGAAGTATTTCCGAACCAATTCGACTTAGGGTCCTTCAAGAAAAGAGCGTACCAATTCTTAAAAGGCCGGCAACGCACTCGCGAGCCCTCTGGCATTGAGAGTGTCCATGGGCGGCGGTGTCACTTAACATCAGGTGAGCCTCCTGCCCGTTTGCCCCCGTTCTATAAAAAAAAAAAAAAAATACCACTAAAAAAAAATACTTACAGTTCGATTCTGTAGGTTTTTTACACGACACAGCAATCGCACTGGGTGACCAACCAATCCGGTGATATTTCTTGGAGTGCCTGGGTCGAAATAAGGTGCGTGTGACCCCTGCCACTCTTGAAGGTATTCTGCCCGAAATTGGCGTGACGACATTTCTGTGACTGAATCTGGGTAGTCTGCGCCCGAGTTGGCTATTGGAATATATAAAAATATGTTAGTTGATTAATTATACCTTATATGTATGCCGAGAAACATGTTTAAAGTAAATCTTTATGTATATAAAATTTTCGCGTCACAATGTTCGTTCCCATACTCCTCCGAAGCGGTTCGACCGAATCTTATGAATTTTTTTATGCATATTCAGTATGTCTGAGAATAGGCTACTATCTATATTTCTAACCCTTAAGTGATAAGGGGTGGTATAAAAATATTTTTATTTTTTAGACAATTTTTTTATTTTTATTTTTTATGATACAGCATACAAAAATACATACAACCCTTAATTTTGATCTACCCTCTACGATCAACTCCTATTTTTTATTTGTTAGTTAAGCACTTATAACTTGAACTCTGAGGTTTATATAGAGAAAAATCACAGAAAAACCTAAAAAGATTTTCATTCTGGAAAACCGAACAGTCTCTGGGGTAGCATAGCAAAATGTTCCATGTTGGTAAGTAATAAAAAGGTAGGCTAGGCACTAAGGAAAAACGAAGTTCGCGGGGTAGCTAGTATATACATTATACATATTGGAATTTTGTTTTCGTTTAATTTAAATGGGTTAAACATCATTTTCTTTGCAAAACCGTCAAAATAATAATGTTAATTTAAGGAGAATGATGTTAATTTTTTAAGAGATTGAATTTTGACAATTGATACGTTTTCTATTAAGAAGCATGATCTTTTCACGTTGCGATCTTTTAATATACGCTTTTCTATTTCCGCGTGAACAAAGTCACGGAGTACAGACTAAACAAACATGAATATAAACATCTATTATACGGAAATAATAAACGTGTAGTACATCCGTTAATAGTTATTTATACTCTAATAAATATAATGTTCGTGTAAAGAGACGTTAAAAAGACAGCTTAAGCATTATTAACATCCCTAAACAAAGGGATGCCAAGTTTTTTGCCCTTATTGAGGCCGTTCATTCAAAAGCAGTCAAGTGGAATGAAATAAATACACAAGCTTCATACAATACTTTGATTTATGAGAAAGCATCATCTAGATAAGATTTTTTTTGGTATTATGATACTTTTGGAATTTAACTTCCGTTTTTTTATAGTACAGGGGGCATACAGGCTAATCTGATGTTAAATGATACCATGCCGCTTATGGACACTCTCAATACCAGAGGGCTTGCGAATGGGTAGCCGGCCTTTTAGGAACAGTTATCTACTAAGATGTTTTAGGCTTAGACCCAAAAGCATTGAGTATATTTTTAAATAAGTCTCTGACAGTTGAGAGTTCTAAGCTGAATAATTATTCTTGTCTCATCAAACAATACAAATTGAAAACATTTTTCGTTATTAAAAAATTACCTCTCAGGAACAAACACTGTAGTAATGATATGAACAGCGCTCCACGAAATGGATGACCCATAATCATCCTTCCGCTGTTTGGTATCTGAAAACAAAAATTACTTGAGACAAAAATACTCTACGATATTAAATAATCTAACAGTAGCATTTATTTAGCGATAATTGATTGAACAATATCAAAAGATATATAAGTTCATCGTCATGCAAACAGCTTGAAATTCCCATTCAATATTCAATTATATTTTTAATTTCTTCAATATTCAAACAAATGTTACCAGTTTGTGATATAATGTCACATTGAACTAGTATTAAGTTCATACAAAAATAAGAAACAAAATGGCAACAATTTTATGTTCCATTTTCGTTTCTTTTGCTCATTTTCACACAAAAGTAATTGCTCTGATACTCATTATTTTACGCCAATTGCGTCTAAACAACCGTCTTCGATTATTAAATAGCAAATAATATTCTCATAATGGCGAGAAAAAGCTTCCAATTTTCGTGTCACGATTTATTTGACAAAGATAATTGCGAAAGCCTTTAGAATTCACTTATACTCATTAGTAACATAAATAAGCCAAAGTCTACAGTAACAATAATATTTTATATAATATTAAATATATTAATGATGGTTCATTTTGGGAGGAAAAACTAAGAAAGAAATAACGTTGCTGAAGCGGTTACAATTAATTTATATTAGATTTCACAAACTGTTTTTAAAATGTTTATCTACACTTAATGGTCAGCAAACTAACCCTTAAATACTTTACATTGAGACAACTATTAAATTTAGTTTTAATTACCTGATTTCAGTAAATGAAAAGGGTGACCAGCCTTTTGTGCTTTTGAATATTATATATCAGTTATTTGTAAGACGGGAATTGAAGCTACTTTACGTAACCTTGATTTTCGATAAAAGTAATTACGAGTAAGTATAAAGAAGTTTTTGCAGTTTATTATACCTACATAGTACATATCTTCTAAGGAATTTTTGGAATTCGCCTCGCTTAACTAGTTTATTGTACACATATAGAAATCAAAGAATTTTAAATTCAAATCTCAGAAACATTTATAAAATCACATAGTAGTAAAATCTATTTGTCCACCAATAATGCCACATCAATCTTCCCGCCAAAACGTAATCACGAACGCCGGGCATAAACCACAGAGCATCGCTTACCCATAGATTAAATTCGTATTTCAAAATATCGACTAACAAAAGAAGTTATCTAATTGATTCATAAGGACGTGAATTAAATATTGTACTAATTATTATGAAATGTAACTATTAAAGATGGACTTAAAACATATACAACTTCTAATTTAAAAAAAAGGAAGCGTATACTTATGTACGCGCGTAAGAAGTTATACTTCTTTGGCATTATTAAAAATAGTTTTTGATTGCATGCAAATAATTAATTACAAATAAATAATCAAAGACGAAAAAAGGAGTCATTATAGTCAATAAAGTTCAGTTTACACTTGAAAAATTAAATAAATAAATATTTATTAATATTATATTTATATGTATTATTATTTTCTAATATTAATTAGTACTGATTTAAATATTCAATTTAAATCACTTCTGATTATAATTCAGACGCACATATAAAATTCGCACTTGTATAATGAAAACACGTGTTTTAAATGTAGAAACTCAAAGCATGTCGATAAATATTGTGCGAGTGCGTGCCAACATGCGCCACTAACTTCATTCTGTTAATTTTGTGTCACGGTGCGCGCGCATCGTAAAATTTCACTCTTATCAATTTTTCATAACGCGCCTAAAGAAGTATAACTTCAAAAGTAAGTAAATTTTGTGTTTTATAGATAATAACATAGTATATTAAAAAATTATCACATAATCACTTTAACCAATGTTTTTATTTATAGCTGATTTAATCTTAGTATGATCAATCAGTGAAAGCCTAATTCGTTTATTCGTTTACGAGACAAGGATAATAAACATGTACTGTCTCTGTCATAGACAAAATGACGTTTGAAAATTAAGTTAATATTATTTGAAACTAGCTGGCCTGGATAACATCGTACCGCCTAACAGTCGATTCTTAATTTTTTTTAAATACTTACTCTGCTATTCGGGACACCGGTCTAGCTAGTAAGATAAAAAAAAAGTTGATAAGACAACAAATACATTATGTCAAAAAATAAAAATTTACCTTCCCGGAACCCCTCCACGAACACTTGAACTTTATGATATGGTATTAAAGTTCAAATGGACTTTTAAGTATTATTACGAATATTATCTATGGGACTATAGAAAAGTGTTTTTTTAGACTTTTTCACTAAATATTTTTAATTTTTCTCTCCGTAAGAACCATTCTCATACTTAAAGGAATATTATAAAAAAAAATTGGCCAAATTGGTACAGGCGTTGTTGAGTTAGCGCTTACCAACATATTTTGCGATTCATTTTTATGTTATAGATAATGTCTCCATTTTGAACAGACAACCCTGAAAGCGAAAAATTCAGAAGTTGTATACTTTGCCCCTTTTAAATTATTACATCGTTACATTAACGTTGTACATCTTAATTTTTTATTAACCTCAAACTTAATCCTCAATAACATACAAATAAGTCACTTCTGATGTACTATTGATTAATTAAGAACGTTTACAATATGTTGATCTCCCTTTTTTTGTTTTAACTAATTAAATAATTTAAGTATGTGCTTAATTATTTGTTACAAGTAAGTATTTTCAGGTATTATATTTCGGATTTGAAATGGACAACGCAGTATGGGCACGTTATTCTAATAAGTTAATCAGCCTTCCATCCCCTACCTACCCGAGTATTGTTGTACCCATATATTGTAATCTTACGTCATTCGAAAAATTGCAGACAAAACACGCAAACAGTACTATATTTTTATCTTTGCAGTAGTTTCATGCTCACTTCCTTACTCGGAGGCTCCAAGGGGTTGAATATAAATGCCGCTTTGAAGTGCCCTATTCATTTCCTGTAGTTCTATCTTTGACGCAGTGCTGTGACAAAATGGTTCTCATTCTAATAAGTACTGTAAAACCAAGGGGTTTTAATACTGAATAATTTAGCGTAAATTATAGTGTAGCAATATTTTAAAATACGTACGTAATCACAAAATCACAGTGAAATTAAAATTTTTTATTTCTACTTCTAAATTATAATTTACGCTATTATATAAAAATACTTTTACATATACGGTGGAATTTCTATAATTCGAATATAATGGAAATCCAAAAAAAAATCGAGTAAAGGAGTTTTCGACTTAACAAGAACTTCGTGATACATATTTTATTTATTTGCTCAACGGTATTCCTACAGCTACTTATTAAACAATATTCAAACAATTACACTGTACACAAAGGCCAAAAACGGAATACACATTTAAACATACACAAAGCACAGTTTCACCTATACAAATACAAAAAATATACAAGGAATATATGTATTTATAATAAATTCTAAGATTCATTGTTCATTATAATATATATTTAATACAAAGATATGATTTAACTGCTGAAATTTCGACTTACAGAGACGCGATTTCTAGTGTATTTTTCGATTTGTAGAGTCAAATTTGAATAACAATACAACTTCAGTTTTGTAGTATAAATTTTTTACATATTAACAATAGATTAGAAGCCTATACTCGAACATTCGTTTTGGAGTTACAGAGTATAAATATGTATTATCAATATAGGGAAATAACATTTTATTTAAGTTACAAAATCTAAATAATTCGAGATACTGCGTATTTAGGGGTTGTAGCGGAAGGGAAATACTTTTTTTTAGACTTACTGAGGATTTTGACCTTCGAGTTATAGAGATTCCAAATGATATTTTTTCAAATAAACAGATAGATACACTTCCAATTTCGTTTTTTTTAAGATTGAATTATTTAAGTTTCATAACAATTCAGAATTTAATAAATAAAGATATTGGCAGTAAAAATAAATAGTAAGATCAAACTATTAATAGTTTGAAGAAATGTGATCATTAAATTTCTCATTCTGGTATTGTGTTTTAAACTCCGACTTTCAAACTCAAATTAAGTGTGAACTTAAAAATACTTCAATACGACGTGATCTACATGTCATATTAGCTATATGTTTATACAAACTAAGGTAACACGCCATCACGCACGTATGTCACGCGACGTATAACGAAAAATTGCCAAAACAAAATTGCTTGGCGTGTACTTCAATAACAGCGTTTCGGCTCAGCGGTTAAGGGAGCTAGTAATGGTTATTATGTTGGTATTAATTAACGAAAACAATTTTATTTGAAATACTTATTTTTGTATTATATGATAAGATATTGTAATATATAAGTCACACGAAAAGTCTATTCTCACAACTGTTCAAAATAATGATAAATTCAATATTGATTTGAAATAAAATAATTGTGATTATTAACTATAATATAGACCTGAGTTCAACGTTCGACTTAATCCATTCCACCAGCTGTTTCTTTTACTTTTTTTACACCTGCTGGTTAGACACCCAAAGTTGATTACGTGACCAGACGAATTATTTCGAACACAAAAATTTATAGAATCGTTTAATAGATGTGTAGAATTTTACTTTAGAACTATGCCAATATTTATTGCTATTTTTCTTACTAAGTTAAGCCTAAGGTAAGTCTGTGGGAAGTCTTAATAATTTCCATTAGAATCCTGCTGTCAATATTCCTCCATAAAGCCGTAGAACGGATCGTTTGTGTTAAAAACATTTAATTTTAAAGCGGTAACTACCCGTTAATTCCAAAAATCTCAAGGAATCCAAAAGCTATTTGAGGCAGTGAAGTCTGTTAAATTTTCCTGGAAATCTTGTTACAAAATATATGTAAAATATTTCCCTAAAGCCTTAGAATAAATTCCAAGCTGCAATCTTCAGATTGTTCAATTCAGATCGCAAGTATCGACCTAGATAAATTTACTTGACTGTAAACTGGTATTAGAGATGTTAAAATGTATTCATCACAAATGTAATTTAAATAAATAATCAATAGTTATATATTTTTACTGAAGCTCTGTATATTATGTTATATTGCTTTGTGGAACA